CCACGTCCCAGAGATTTAGTTTTAAATTAGCTTAAATAGGGCTCAGACTACCAAAGAGCACAAACCTCTCCTTCAGAATATTATATTACTTTTTGGTGAAATTGTAATACGTTAGAACTGGAAGGGTCAAAGAACAGAACCTGATCATTCAGAACCTATGTAATCCGTGGTGAATGATTGTAAAACAGAAATCAGGCAAATCTGTTTTGTACAATAGGAGGTAAAGCATTTATGGGTTACTTTAAACAACACTTCTTTTTAAAAGAACACTTTGAAAACATCTTTTGCTTTGAAAAAGCTTCCTTGCATATTAATTTATAAGTTAGCTTGACAAAATTTACAGTTGACATCAAGAATCCTCTTCAAGAAACTGGACTTATAAGTGCTACCAGCATTAAAATTAATAACTCAAGTGTCTCTTTGGGAGCGGAGCGTTCTTTTTGTTTATTAATTTTTAAAAATTTTCTCAGACTCAGAAGAACCCAGGACTCAACTAATTGTGATCAGTCTGCGTTCTTGTATGAGAGAAGTTTTTCAAACTCAGAGTCTGTTTTTGGAATTAGTTGTTTTTTGTCGTGTTATCAGTGCTTTTAGTTTTGCAGTACTTGAATGTTGAATAAATCATAACTATGAAACATTGATTTTAGTGACTTCATTGTTATTTCACATGCATTTTGTTCTTGTTTGTTTTTGCTGTTGAGTTCAAAAGCTGTCTACTGAAAATACGGTGTATATGAGGGTAAAAATACCAAGCAGGGAAAACAAGAATAAATAAATTGTTTTATTGGAATACAGAACTTGAAGTCAGTAAAAAAGTATCCTAGATCCAGTTGCAAAGCACTGAAATACTAAAATCCTGCTAAATTGCAAATGACCAATAAAAATAGTAAGACATTGTAGTAGACGGTCTTTGAAATCTATGGGACATGTATAAATATGAAATGCTCAATGTACATTGCACTTACACTCTTCTATAGATTTCTCCTACTCATGCCAGGATTCTGATCCAGAACTATGAATAGGATCTGGCAATGAAGGCCTCACTTCAGTTTTAAGTAGCTGGATATCCCAAAAGATAGTTATTCCAAAACCATATTACGTTCTTTTTTTTTTTTCTTTTAGTCTTAAATGTTGACAGAACTGGGAAAAAAAGAGAAGAAATGGACTGAAAAGTTTTGACACATGCTGCAGCAAGATATGTGAACTAGCTTGAGTCTTGTAAAAACAATATGACTGTATTATCAACATGGTGCTGTGCTTGAGCTAATAAGCCCTTCTAAGAAGCTATTGTAATACAAGCTTTGCTTGTATCTCAGCTTAGTCTCACATAGGCCAACACTTCTAGACTGTGCAAACAGTGGTCTCTGCAGCAGCTTGCTTTTGAGTACCAGTGACTACGTTAATGGTTTTGATTAACATCATCTTTTGAAGAATACCAACATCTTCCATTTCTGAGCTGTAAACATTATGTATAGTGTAGGGGTTCTAGTCATTGCTTTATTCTTGGGAGAGTACTGTCAGTTGTATTTCCTTTTTTGTGGTCTATGGAATTTCTTGTTGTTATAGGAAAGATGCAGACTGTTCAGCAATTTACATTTTTGTCAGAAAAGCTACCCCATTAGGTTAACCTCCTTTATCCTTGTAAAATACTGGAACATAAGGGCAGAATCTCCCATTGTATTATTCAATGCAGACATAAATTGTCATAATGCTGAGATATGCTTATCAATTCTGCAAATTTTTAGTTCTTGAATTAAATCTCGAATTACCTTGTATGTTAAATAAATGTTGTTCGTGTGTACTTTTAAAATAACAAACAGGTAAACTAAAACGGTGGTTACTAACCTTAAAATACAGTTCTATAGTACTTGGAAGAAGTGAATTATGGCGAGATGTCTATCATGACAAAGAAGAAATGCCATACGTTGCTGCATTTATATGGAACAGTCTTCCCCCATACATCCTCATATGTCTGTGAGAGAGCAGTCACTAAGACAGTGCTAGACAGTTTTAAAATAAATTTAAAAACCAATTAATTTACTTTATGACTGTTAAGTATTGTAAAATTGAAACAAATTTCACTGTGTTCTTGCTTCAAATTGCTTGGGATTTGTTTTTGTGATAGAAATATGCTCGGGGAAGATCTTTTTGTTAGTGTGAAATATGTGTTTTCCTAGTAGAATGACAAAAATGACAGTAGAATGACAAAATGAGACTAGAAAAAGTCTCTGTGTTGTGTATCAGAATTTATTGTACTAATTTCAAAAAGGTTTGCTATTTCCATTAGAAACTCATTGCAGATTTTAACTGGCAACAAACTTCTGAGTTTTTCAGTGTAAATTAATTTGTGGTTGTTTCATACCCATTTGTTCTTACGCTCATGTTCTCCTTTTGCTTACTTAGCCAATCGCCCCCTTTTTTCTCTGCTGTATTTATAGATTTCATTTTATTTCATTTTTATTATGTATGTATGTATTTTGATTTTCTGTGCTGAAAAACTCCTAGTCTTGCCTTCAGGCTAGATTGTCTGTTAGGGTAGATCACAGAAATAATCTTTTCCCCTGCATGATCCAGTGTCAGTCTTTAATAAGCTCAGGATATAGGTGACAGAAATCCGGCTGGTTAATCCAGTTGATTAGCGTTTTATAAAATTGTGTAAAAATGCTTCCCTTACCTAACCTTCCGTAACCATTCTGGAAATGCTTGTTAATGCTACTCAGGATTGTATTTTCTTTCATGATGACTCATGATCCTTCTGTGATTCACTGGATTCTACTACTTTTGAATCTCCAAATAATAGATTCTCTACTTATGGGAGAACTTTTTATTCCATAAATGTATAAGCTTGCATGTTTTACTCTTAAATTTCAAGCTATTAATCTTACTACTTCTCACCTACATATGGTTCTTCCCATGTGACATGCTCATCTACAGTGATAGAGGTGCCTCTGCACTTTGTGTTGTCATTGTTTTACCAACTCATTAATCAAAATATTATATTGTTGGTTTCAAGATAGAGAAGACCTCTCAAACCTTAACTAAAAACTGACTTGATTTTTTTTTCCCTGTTTTACCTTCAAATTTTGTCTTCCTAACATACAGTTCTGTAAACTTATACCACCTTAATTTTTGGAAGTAGTTTATTACTGCATCATTTGCCTAAATAAGAAGATGCCCTTCTGATGCTGGCTTACACTTTCATTTTGAGTAGTATGGTTAAGAGGTTTGCAGTGACTGAGCCTTGGGGAACTACAAGGCCGTATGCACGTTTGCCATACTGTCCGTGCCATATATCTATGGTGTGTCGCCCTGAAAGAAGGACTATGTAGAGAGAAGAATCTGCTTTTCTAACACTATATTCTCCCTTCTGAAAGTGATCAAAAATTTTTTGTTGCCATGTTCAGTTTGAAATTTGATGCACTCAGATTAAATTTTTTAAAGGTCTGATATTCTGTAATTTAAGTATAACTTTCCCATCTGTTGATTTATTTTACATTTTGAATTTTAAAACAACAAACAAAAAATGCAGTCCCGTTTAATTGTAAACCTTGGAACTACTTTTCACTTAAACCAAGTTGTAAGTGGTTTAATATCAAAACATTCAGATTTCACACATGGAGTTTGTAACTGAGGTTTTAGACTACCTATGTAGAGCTCAGAGACTATTGCATTTCTCAAGGGAATAGCAAGGCAAAAAGAGATCTTTCCGTTCAGCTAAATAAGTTGACTTGAGTTCAGGCAGTGCAAAAGTCAGAAAGGAGATATATTCTAGGGGCCAGCACTAGCCAAAAAAGCTTTGTGGTATATGGCAAGGAATCCCATTTTAACCATAGGACTCCCAGGAATTTTGTAGCAATGTCATCGTAATCTTTCATTGAGTTTGAATGGCACATAAAAGTATCATGATTCATGTGTTGGGTTTTTTACCTAAAATTTTCAGCAAAAAAAGATCCCTCAAAATCATTGATGTCTTTGATTTGAAAGAATGTTGTAAGCTGTCAAGTTGGTTTGGCAACCAATTTGTACTTTTCTGGTAAACGAGTATTGTTGCATTATTAAGTTTTCTCTGTACCTCTATATTGTTAGTGATCCATTCCTTAAAAATCTGTCCTAAAAGCTTTGAATACTTTCAAAGTCATACATTATACAATACCTTAATTTAATACAATACAATAGTTTTTGATACTGTAAATCTACTTGAAATAGTTGTAATGCGTGTTTGACTCTGAAGAGCCTATTCACTGAGTGAATAGGACCTACGTAACGTGCCAGTTTAGCAGTCAAGCCATTTGTCTTGGTTTCCATTTAAATGACATGGATTTTACGGAGATGTCTAGCTTATCTTAGAGAGGGGAA